AAAATAGTGCAAAATATACTTTCAAATAAAATTTAAAGAAAGAAAAAAGAAAAAAAAAAGACCTGAGCTAAGATCAGGAGTCCGACACTTGGGGCTCCTGGATGGCTAAATCTGTTAATTAAGCCAGTGACTCTTGATTTTGGTTCGGGTCATGATGTCATGGTCATGAGATCGAGCACCTCCATGGACTCTGACCTGGGTGTGCCGCCTGCCTGAGATTCTCTCTCTCCCTCTACCTCTGCCCTCCCTAGCTCGCACTTGTCTGCATGTGCACACATACTCTCTTTCTCTCTCACAAACACACAAAAAAGAGCCAGATGCTTAACTGACTGAGCCACCCAAGGTGTCCCTCCACCCCTTGGAGATATTAAAGTCTCCTCAAACACAACATGTCCCAAATGGAACTCATGATCTTTGTCCCTCTATGCCAATGTTCGATATCTCAGTGAATCGCCCTGTCATCCATTCAGCTATACAATCCTGATTGTTCTTGAAATTCTCTTCCCCTGAGTTCTGCCTTCCGTAGTATTCAGGACATTGCCAGTACCTTCTAAAATATCTCTCAGATCCAGCCACATCTCTATATCTGTGATGCCATCCTAATCCAATTTAACATCTTCCTGTCTGGATTACTGCAATAGGCACCCAACTGTTCTCTCACATCCTTCTTTTCTAGCTCTATCTGCCCTCACTGCAAGCAGAAAAATCTTTTAAAACTGCAAATCTGAGCAAGCTGTTTGGATACTTAAAACCCTTCAATCAGCATTGCTTGTGGCAGAAAGATCGTGATCTGACAACCTCTCCAACCGCATCTCACAGCACAGTCCCCCCTCTCTTTCTGGCATTGTAATTTATCTTCAGTCGCTCCCATGTGCCATGTTGCTTTCAGCCAGAGTCTTGTTTGAAACTCTAGTCCTTCTGTCTTTGCTAGGTTGCCTAGGTAACTCCTACTCACCCACTAGCTGTAAGGTCACTTCTTCACACAAGCCTTCCCTGACCCCTGAAACTGAATCATATCCCCCTCTGCTACAGTCTCACAGCACCCAGTTTCTCTTCATAGATATTATCATCATTCGTATTTATGCATTTTGTTGTTTAATGATTTGATTAATCTGTCTTGCCCTCTAATGTATTAGTTTAATAAAGGCAGAGCCAATATTTATTATTCTTACCATTTGATCCTCAAAGCCTACTTGAACAGATGGTGACCACACTCATCGTGGTAAGCTTTTCATAATGTAATTGTCAAATCACTATGTGATACACCTGCAACTAATATAATGTTGTATGTCAACTATACCTTAATTAAAAATTTTTTAAATACATAAGGTCATTACATTAAAAAAAAAGGCCTATTAGAGTGCCTGGCACATAGTAGGCACTCAATAAAAGTTTGTTGAATTGGGGCACCTGAGTGGCTCAGCCAGTTAAGCATCCGACTTTGGCTCAGGTCGTTATCTCACAGTTCATGGGTTTGAGGCCCGTGTCAGGCTCTGTGCTGACAGCTTAGAGCCTGGAGGCTGCTTCAGATTCTGTGTCTCCCTCTCTCTCTGCCCCTCCCCTGCTTGTGCTCTGTCTCTTTCTCTCTCTCTCAAAATAAATAAACATTAAAAAAAATTTTTTTAAGTTTGTTGAATTAATTAACAAAGGAATGAATAAATGAAGGTCATTAGTGACTTGCCCAGGATCGATATAGCAAGACAGACCATGGCCAGGTATTCTAAATTTTAGTCCATGTTACTAGCCTTCTCACAAAGACCTTGTCCTCAATTGTTCTGAATTACTGCAACCAAAGCAACTTCACAACTCATGTCCAATTTCTCGACCCTACCATTTTCTAAGGATGGAATTTATGCAGTAAGGAGATGCGATATGTATAGCAATTTTTTTTTCCAAGAAATACATGCTATCTTTTTGCTCTGTTTCGAAGGGTTTTTTTTTATGATAAACCATGCCGCTATTTAAAACTTGTAAAGCTTTTTGAGATTCTCAGAAGAAATATAAGGCATAGATCACAAAGAACAGTTTTATCTCTTGCAATAGGATTTCCTGTTCAAAAAATGATGTTAATTTGAAAAGCTGATACCTCCAAAAGAGCATTCTATTAGGTGGGTAATCATCATCATATTGCCAGCTGCTGTGTATACCCTTCTCTTAAGAATGAAAAAGTAAAAATCCACTTTGTTGTGTACAAGTGTCTTGCGTGTTTTATAAAATCCACATAAAATGGTCAGTGGTTGGAGGAGAGGCTCCTGTATTTATAAGACAAATAAGTTCACTGTCACCCCTGAAGAAACTTGAAGATATGATTCTCAGGGGTGTTTGGTGCCTTGGATGAAAATGGAATCATTATTTTTCAACTTCCCCTGCTCACGTCATTGACTCCCACCTGCAGCCGGTCCATTGGTTATAAGTAGCCATAAATGGCCTTGCAGATTGTAAGCAGGGTAGCCAACCAGGACCAGCAAAGCCAAACTCCTGGTAAGCTTTATTAGCCCTTTCTGTGTATTTCATTTCCATTTCACATTTTGGAGTCAGAGACAATCCATACTTATGCTGATGTGGTGTGAGTCTGTCTGAGATG